TTGGCATCCACTGCTCTCCTCTCATCCCAGTTACATAGCAGAAGCCATGAGGTCTGGATATAGCATGATTTCCCCTTAGTAAATCCTTGCTGACTGCTTCCTGTCACTGTCAGCTCCTTTATGTGCCCAGATGTGGGTTCCAGGAGGTCTCCTCCCTCGGTTTCACCTCAGACTGATTGCTAGCTTCTCTCCCCCTTCAGTCAAGTCACTGAGTGCAGAGGCCTGGCAGACATGGGTGGTGAGGACCTGCCTTATCCATGTCTGCTGTCAGTGCAACACCTTCACCTATAGGGACCCTGGCAGGAAGACTATTGCACATCAAAGAATCAGTGATCCACTCACCCGGTTATCTGAGTACACCCTGGCCTGTTCTGGGCTGCACATAGGACCTTCAAGCCGCACTGTACCCCACAAATTCCTTGGCTGCAGCACAAACTCATTTTAGGATAGAGGCCAGCAGACAGCTACCCCTCATCAGCAGCAATTACAGCACCTGCACCACCTTGCCTTCATCTAAAACTGCAGCAATACATTCTTATAAGGAACTTGTTTCTGCTTGCTAGCAGAAAATACAAATATATTTGAGCTAGCATATGGAAAAAATAATACAATAGCTAAAGTGAGCAAACAAGTCAGCCTTGTACAGATGGGGTCACAGTGTGCTGCTCAAGCACCATTCAGTAACAAAACATTTTCCTTAACCTCCAGCAATCTCCTGGATGGCTGGTGTTCTGATGTATTACATTTCCCAAAGAGGATGGAGGTCAGTGGCTCAGAGCCTCCCTCAGGATGTTCAGAGAAAGCTCCATCTGCTTCCTTACCCTGGTCAGTCATCTGCAACATATCCCAGCACACTCAACAAACCCTCCTCTGACTCTGACCCACAAGCTTTATGCAGATCTGAGCCCTACACATCTGAGCTGCTCCTTCACATAAAGGGCAGCCCCATTCCTCCTCTTCCCTGCCTGCCTGCCTGCTCTGAAGGGCTTGTCTCCATCAGACAGCACTGCAACATCACAGGCGTCCCAGCAATGCTGCAGCTCCAGCCACAGGCTGAGATCTTGCCTCTACTGCTCAAATCCCAAGCAGTGTGCAGACAGCTACACACCCTGCACCTCATTGCCCAAGCTCTGCCTTGTTCCCCCCACACCCTGTACCTTTGCTTTCTGTCCTCGCTCCACCATTTTATCACACAACTTTGGGCTGCAATGTGCTTCCCTGCTAGCATCACTGCTAGTTGAACAGTCTCCTCAATAGAGTGGCCCGGTGCTTTTGCTACAATAAAGAGGGCAAATGACATCTGATCTCATAAATTCACAAATACAAAAAGCAGAGGTCGAGCTAAATTTGTTCAATCTGCCCCACGACAAATCTGAAATTCAGCTCTTCACTCAGTGGATTACACTTGTACATGTGATGCTCCTCACCCAGATACACATAGTTCTATTCCACCATAAAGGGAGCTGATTACTTCTTGTCAGTCATTTGTAGTCAGCCCATCTGATTTGCAGCATCCAATACAGGACCAATGACCTGGTTCACAGCTATAATTTCACTGGCACCACAGCAAAGTAAAGTTTTATTTCATGTGTTCTTATGTCTTTCACTTGTCATTTTGTATCTGAGCTACTGTAAATATCCTGGGGAAATTTCATCTCAAAAGCAATCTTGAACAAAATCTTTGAACAAAAGAAAAAAATCTGCTGTGGTCAGAAACTGTAGAGCAGAGCAGCCAGTTACATCAATTTTTATTGAACTAGAACACTGTGCAGCATCTGCTTAAAATGGGCTGGAAAACTCACATAATTCAGAGGTTGTAAGTACAAACGACTCTCAAGATCTTGGCAGAAAACATCCAAACAATTCCCTTTATGCGAAGAAATTCAGCATGATTCAAAATTTTGGTTTGCATGGCAAAATTTTTATCAGTTTAAACTGGGGAGTTCCACACTCTTTTCCCTTTCCAGAGGTACACAAGCAGGTAATGGAGAGAGGAAAAAAGCAGAAAAGGCTTAATTTTTAAAGCAACAATCATACTTCACTCCTTCAATATGCAATTCCTTTACTCAAAATGAAACCAGGGTTATTCTAAACAAAGATCACATTTAAGAGATTGTTTGGAGTCAGCCACGTGCATGCTCTAGGCAGTGTTGGCTCTTGCAAACAAACATTTTCTATCTCAAATAGCCTTAACTTTTTCAGCTCCTGCCGATGTAGCAATTCCCTCGCTATCACTCAAACACTAACACCAAAACAAGGTAAATAAAATATAACACCCCTCCATTCCACCCCCACCCTCCCAAATCCTCTTCCTGACCATTTTGGTAAAGAAATAATATTACCAATTATTCTTCAGGAATTAACACAGTCATAAAACAGCAACCAACCCTCAGGATTATTCTGTAAAAATGTAACAAGCAATGAAGTGTGAAACAATTATCAGCAATTTCTACAAGTAAAGAAAAGAAAGTACTGAAAATATAGATTTCAGGGGTGAAGAAAAAAAACCAACCAAGAAGTACATGCACATGGCATCACTTGTACCAAACTTCTGCTTCAGCACCGACCCCCAGAAACCCTCCTCAGACAAGTTTAAAAGTAAACTGCAGCAGACAAACAGAAGTTACCACAAAACCACAATCCAGGGGACAAGGTAGGGGAGTGGAGGAAGGGATGAGGCTAAAACATCGATGTTAAAAGGACTGAAATCTTACACTTTGGGGTTTTTTTTCCCCCAGGGATAGCGTGGGTGCAAGTGGGAAGGGGGAAAAAAAAAAAGGTGTGTGTGGGAAACGTCTTAAGAATTAGTATGTTCTGGCATTGCTTTGGAAAATGGTTCCAAGTGAATTATTCTTAGTTTAAAATGTGATTTCAGAAACATAAAAAAATGCATAAATGAAGAAAACAAACTAATAGCTACCCACTCTTAACAAAAAACGTTTTCAAAAAAAACCTGACAAAAATTATAAAAAGTCCCTAACAAATTACCAAAGTAAAAAATTCAGAATCTGTCGTTCCCATCTGTCCTGCACTTTATGAAGTTTAGTGGGTTTAATGTAATGCAAATTTAGTAGCGTAAAAACATCAATATAGTACTACTTTAGAGAAGAAAATTGGAAAAAGTTGCTCATCCTTTCAGAAAGATTCTGGAAAAGCAAAGATTAAGCAAAGATTAATACAACCTTTCAATTCTGGCGAAACACTTGCAACCTGAATCTCATTCAGGGTTCTGGCTGGAGTAAGAATTCATCTCAGCTGTAAGCCACAAGAACAACAACTTTGTTTAGAACAACAGAAACTCAACAAGCCCCCAAAAAAACAAAGCAAAACCCCCCACAAACCAAACAAACAATACCAACCCTCAATTGCATTGTGCATTTTTCTGGTCATATAATCCTTACCTGGGTTTAAGACACCTATTGCAAAGAAAAGTTCGTGCATTATTAAAAACCCCACCCTAAATTACAGTATTTTAACCTACAGTATAGTACAGATGAATGCAATGCTACTGTTACCCCTCCACAAGATAATACTGTTACTTTGTATGATGCTTTCTTGTTGCCATGACATCCTATATGTCGTAGGTATCTACCCGTTCATTATTTTCCCCACTGACATTCAATCCGTGGTCATTTTACCCCCAAGCCAAAAGCTTATAAGTATGTGTTTATTTTCAAAGCTATCCATTTGATCTATTGAAAAAGGTGTATCACTCCGGACCTCAGGCAGTCTGCCTTAGGTAGGAATACACAACGCTGTTTCTAAACACATGGGGACTGAGATTGCCCTCGGACAGTGACCAGTTCTTCCAAAATCTGTGTTTGTGTGTGTTTGTTCAGCACTTATCTGTAGGATTCTGATCTCAAGGAGACAGACCGTCAAGCACTCTAACAAATGTCATTCCTTCTGTTTGAAAGCTCAGATTATTCTCTCCGATTTCCCTTTACGTCTGGTCAAGATGTTAGTTCCCCTAACTTGTAATCTACGCTGTAGCATGCACCTCCACTAGCTCCCGGAATACCCTACGGATCTGGCTGAAGGCAGATACACCAACAAGAGGACACGTACCCCAGAGGAAAGCCTCTGCTTCCCAACAAACTGCTTTTTGCCCGCGCACCTTTCGCTTACGGCTCCGCCACCGCTGCCCTGGGCTGCCCGGGGCGAACACGAGCGGCGAATTCCCACCGCGCCCGGCCGAGCCCCGCACCTGCCAACACCTGCAAAGTCAGGCTCAGCGCACCCAAGGGCGAGTCCTCCTCCCGAAGCGCAACAGGCTGCTGGCCCCCAGCCCCAGCGAGCAGGGACGGGCACTCACCGGCAGCGCGGGCGAGGAGGGGCCGGCGCGCTTGGAGCCGCGCCGGGAGCTCAGCCTTCGCCAGGACTCGGCCAGGCGTCCCCGGCTGCCGCTCGCCGAGCCCTCGGCCGCGCCGCCCCGCTCGGCCCTGCCGGGGCTCAGCCGCCGCTGCTCCATGTCCGCAGCACGGCTGAGCCCCGCACAGCACGGCCCGCCTCGGGCCCGCTTTATGTGCGCTGCGGGCGGGGCGGGGCGGGCCGGCACCGCCCCGAACTCGGGACTGCCCCGGGCGGGCGACGCCGAGCGCTGGTCTGCTGCGGGAACTGGGAAACGGGCACCGAGAGAGAAAGGGACTGCGAGCTGTGGTGCGCTGAGACGTGACGAGTTACGACAGTTGTTCTTTTCCCGTCTGGACCGCGCCAAAATCCTGCCAGGAGGCTTTTTCTAAGTACGCTACGGCAATGGTTCCAGGGAAATAAGTAGCTCCCTATAATAAAACATCTTCATTCTTAATGTGTGCACAGCCTCCACTCTAAGCCAAGCGTTTTCTCCCTCTGCTTACTCTTCAGTGGATGAAAACACCAAGAAAAGATGGCAAAGTACCTGTTGTACTGTGAGACACTTTATGAGGCCCGCTTTTCTTTCTTAAAATTGGGAAGGGGCACCTCTGGAATTAACTCTCTTTACTAATACTGAAAGGCTTCCTGCAGTGTCGGTAAGGGTTCTGATTCATTATGCCCTACCAGGGCACTTAAGAACAAGCACAGGGGCTCATCATCTGTGTGCTGAGCACAGGACACTGCTGCAGTGCCACGGAGGAAATCGGTCTCATCTCTGCCCTCCGAGCTCACTGCTGCTTTTTCTTCCCAGAGGGAGAGGATGCTCAAGTCCCCACAGCTGAAATAACGAGGCAACTAATCTCTGTTTTCCAGTAATGATTAAAAACACAGTGAGTGTTTTGCAGGTATTAAACCATTGATTTGCATTTATGATTTAACCCTTACAAAGATTTCTTAAAAGACCATGTTACGGACACAGTCAGACATATCCCTGCCCCTACTCGAGTAGCTAAACTTTCTATTCTAAAAAGATGCTATGACCTTACAATGAATATAACTCTAGCTATAGCTTAAGTGATTTATGAAAGCATATACTTTCCTCACAGTATATCTGATGTCATAATATTAAACAACACATCTGGGTAAGAGTTTCCAAAGAACATGTCTAACTCCTCATTAAATAGGTGTTGGAAGCAAATGATTAAGGATTTTATTGTGACTTTAGGTAGTCTAATGCTCTGCAAACCCCACACTCCAGACTTCCATTGAGTGGAGAACAGGCATTATTGGGAGGGTCTGTTCTTCCAATACCTGTGACTATAATAGCAAGTTGCTTCATCTGGGTGAATTAATGAGGGCTTTTATCTTCATTTATTCCTCTCTGAGACACATCAGCATTTGGTCAGCTTTGCTGATTGTGTTAACTATCTATATCATTTTAATGGTCTAAAAAGATTAATAGATTAATTGATAGGTTAATTTCTCTGATGTCTCCTCTATCTCTTAGTAACTATCAAATTTCCCAAATCCCATTTTTCTCTTTAAACATTCTTTAGAGGAATCCAGTGACTTTTCAAATCTCACAGAAATCCATAAGCAAGTTAAAAAGTCAAATTACATAAAACTCAGAAGACATGCTCATATGGTTTCTTGTTGGGAGAATGGGGAACAAGAATCTCAAGAAATTAAAAGAATTAAAGGACAAGACAAAAACATACTTGTGTTACTGATTTGTCACTAGTCTTGCTTAATGCTTTGCCAGCTGGAATATGAAGCACGTTGCCTTCATCTCTTTAACTACACAGACAGCACTATGCTACTTATTCAGCTCACAGTGCCATGTAAGATATAAGAAAAGCAAAAAATGTTCCTATATAAAACAAAGATTGCAAACCCAGTAAAAAGCAGAAAGGTTATTTTAAATAAGAAACAAACTTCAAACTAAAATAGAACGAAATCATAGCCAAAAACAATTAAGCTTCAGTAAGTCTAATATACAACACAGGTCATTTGAATAACATCAGAAAGTCAAATTTTGTGAAAAGCAATTCACACATCAATAGACAAGAAAATATTGTTTTTCTCTGATGTTAGGATTAAACTTTCAGCACAGATAAAAGCTTCCTCCTTCTTACTTCTGTCCGTGATCAGACCGAACCTGACTATCTAAGTGCCAGGCAGATTTTGTATAAACTGTCAAAAGTTTCAACTTGTTGCACGATCTGACTACTTTTAGTGCAATGTGTTTGCTTAGTGGCCACTTCACAGGATTGTTTTCCAGCACCTATGCACATATTTACACACATGTACGTATTGCACACACCACAAGGCTGTTCCACATATGTTTCTATAAGCTGCCGTTGCGGTCTTTATCAGTATGCTCTGTGTCTGGCAAGAAAGTATTTTGATCCCTAGCAGAGAAGGACATGACTTCATGTTGTTTGATATCCTCATTTCAGCCCTTCTCATTCCACCTACAAACTTACTCTTCACAGTCATTCATTAGTATGTTCAAATATTTATCAAGAACCACATGAAGGCATGTCAATAGGTGGTGATTGGGTGGTGATATTTGCCTGATTTAGATCTTATAGCTGAGCAGATTCCAAGACCCACTGAAGTGTTTGGAACAGTTTGAGCTACTAAGAGGCTTGGGAGCAGTCATTCAAGGCTGATGAAAAGCTTTCTTTTCACTTTCTATTAACAAGACAAAAGCTATAGTGTGATTTATGCTGAAAGGGGCCACTGAAGATCACCTGGGCCAAGCCTCTCCTTAAAGCAGGTTCGTGTAGATCACAAGTACTTTGCTCAGGGCTTTGTCCATTTAGGTCTTGAAAAAACCCAGAACTGAATATTTCATTGTTTCCCTAGACAATGTTTCAGTGCTTAAGCATGGTCTCAGTCAAAAAGCTTTCCAATACACCTAATTGGAATTTCTCATGGTCCCGTGTGTATTTCCACTTGTTTCTTCACCACTACAATTTCATGGACTCCATCTTCTCTACACCTTCCCATTCAGCAATTCCCTCTAGGCTCTGTCCTTGTGACTGGACAACTTAATGCTCTCAGTCTCATCAGCCAAATGGATGAGAATCTCTGCAAAGAGCTGGAAGCAACCTCGCATTTCTCAGTCTTGGTGCTGATGGGAGAGGTTCTCACACCGCAATATTTACTGGAGGCACACTGCATCCAGGCACAAGCAGACACTGACCCCTCCATGCATCTGCTTGAAAGAGTCCCATAGGACAAGCACCTGAAGTGAAAAGGGGTCCAAGAGAGTCGGTTGTCACTCCAGAGCAGTCCATCCTGATGACCAAGGAAGCCAGACAATAATACCAAGAGGCGTTCATGGAGCCTGGGGCAAAACACAAATGTAAAGAGGAGTGTACAGAAGGTGAAGGCAGTGACAGGGAGCCTGGGAGGAATACAGAGGTCCTAGCACCGCCTAGCACAAAGGGGTGACCTCAGGAAAGCTGATGTCCAGGTGCTCTTGGGTCTGGCAAGGATGTCTTGAGGAAAGGCCTGTGGATGAAGGCCCGGTAGATATTTCATAATTGTGGTATAAGAAACAGAAAAGCATCATGTAAATACGTGCTATTCCTTGCTGTGTTTCTGAGAACAGTTTGTGACGTCCTTTTCCTGTTAGTGGAGAATTGATTTGTGTGTATGTCTGCTTTAGGTGTACTCAGATTGCTGCCACAGCAGCATGGTGCTGCCAGAGCTGCTACTGAGAGTCTTCTATGGGACTGTCGTCTTTGCAAGTTTGCCATTACTCTGACATTGTAGGGTGCAGACAACTCAGTTTTGGGTTTTCTGGGCTTGAAAGTGCTTCTGCTTTTGGCTCAAACTCACGAGATTCCTTTTCAAAATATGGGTCATAATATAAAAATACAAGTTTTTCAAAGGCCAAATACTCTGTCAATTTTTTTTTTTTTTTTTTAGTAAACATATTCCTCGCAAAATTTCTTATTAATACAGGAAAAAATCCTCAAGAGCTGATGTAAATTATTCACTTCCCTTGAAATGGGAAAAATATTGTTTCTTTCCATGTATCAACTGCTAGGAGTGGGTCATACACCTCTGCTTTTTATAACCTGTGCCATGGAAGATTTTTTCTCTTCTCCAGTTTACAGATTTTTAATTAAGGAAATTAAATACACTGAAAGAAAAATCTGACATAAAAACTTCTGACGGAAGTTCTGTACTAGAGTTGCTGTATACTGTTCTTATTTTCTAACTAACACAGGTGTTTTTTCTTCCTTGCAATTTTGTAGAGAAACAGATAAGTCTTCTAATAATGTTTATGGTGGATACTAATAAAACTTGTTTAGTTCAACCATGTTCTGAGAGTGGCAAGAGTCCAACAAAATACAACCTTGATTTTGAAAGGAGTAAACAGTCATAACTTGCTTGCACAGTGAATGAAGGTGATCATACACTTTTCTGAAAGCCAGACAATAAAATCAGCCTTGAGGCTCACTTAGAATTCATAGTCTGAATGTGCCATGAAAATACCTCAAATTCCAGATTTTAGGTCATAAAACTATTTCTATTGAAATTATTGGAAATTACCACAGTACAATTTATTTTCTAAAGCACAAAGCAACAGCAGTCTCTGTGTTTTGAAGGTTATAGGTGAAATCTTTTAAATTAAGTATTGTTTTATCATTCACAGAAAAATAACTTATCAACCATATAGGAATAGGCTTCTTGTTACAAAACAGACTAAATATTGCATTAAAAGAGTTGTGTTTACTGAGTCAATTTTATTCCACTCAATGTGAAAGATGTGGAGGTAGAGCTCTTTTCTACCAGATAACCAGAAAATGAACTTTGTGTTTTTATGTTTATCTGAGTCATCATCGTAGGATAATGGACTAAATAGGAAAGCACTGCTGCCAATTTATGTCTGGAAAATGAAGTTAAAGTGACCTCTGGTGTGTCACAGTAACTTTAAAACAGAATCAGGTATTATTAATGTCTATTTTCTAAATTATGTCCAATGACTTAGCCACTTGATCATTCTTGCCTTGCCATGTTTAGGTATTTGACACTGGGAACAGATAGATTGTTTTCTGGGTCACCACTGGAAGAAGCAGTATAGAACATTGGTAATTAATAGCTACTTTTTTTAAAGCATGCCTGGTCACCTCACTGAAGCATAAAAGGACAAACAATGGGAAAATTATTATGGTTTCTTGGAAGCCTTTAGTGTGGTGTTTATTCAAGCTGAACTTTCTCTACACAGGGAAGTAATTTTAAGCACAGACTGCAAGATCAAAATTTCAACATTTAAGTTTTAATTACACTCAGTTTTTCTTTCCCCATCTGCTCACATCAAAAGTTCACAGTCTCCACTACAACATTGTCAGAAAAATTTGCAATACCTTAGAAAGTAAGCAGACACCATGAACAATTACTCCATGGTATTTTTCCTAGGGCTGCCCATTCATTATGCAAAAAAAAAANAAAATATATATATAAAACAGGCAACAAATTCAGAACAAAACAAAGAGTTGCTCAGCTTGGATTTTAGCCTATTTTTTACATAAATGTTAAGTTGAATATTCATTTCAAGACACATTTGGCACTTGGTAGTACAGCATTTGATGACACAACATATTTATGCTTAGACCATGAAACTTTCTTGTAATCCAAGAAGAAAATAATTTTTTGTGCCATTACAGATCCTCATTCTGCCTTCAGGAGGGGGACCTTTAGAGTTCAGATATGTATGGAAGCAAC